TTGGCTTTTGAAAGCCAATAGAATTAGTCTCTATTCAAGAGAGTCTATTCTATTGGCTTTCAAAAGCCAATAGAATAAAAGGGAGTAGCACAGCTAAGCAAAAGGGGAAAAAATGGCGGACTGCGTTGTTTGGCGACCCCCGTGAAATGGTTGTTTGACCCCAAATGGGGTCCCGACCCACAGGTTGAGAACCACTGCTCTATATTGTGGCCAAGAAACATTTTTGTTTCGTTTTGTTTTGTTTGCTTATTCTAATCTTCAGGACAAGCTTTGAAGATTAGGATCGACTTGTTACAGAACATGCATTGTGACATTTTCATAGAAGAGGCTGCTCTTCTGTTGTTGTTGTTTTTTTCCCAAGTATTAATTTGGGGCTCTCTGGGTGCCCAGGACAGAATGAAATGTATCCTGGTCAAAAAAAAAAAAAAAAGAGGATTGCCAGAGCAGAATAAGGATAATAGCATTAGATTAAATCAACAGGAGCAGTATTAGAATCGTGTATAATACTTCCAACCTTTCAAAGGAGGAAACAAAAAGAAGCAGAAATAGGAAAAACAAATCGCACTGGGAAGACTTTTTCAAAAAGAATATTGTAAGTGTGAAATAATGGCAAGGCAATGATACTAGTTGTGTAGAATAGAGGGTTTTTAATTTTTTGAAAGGTCGAACGAGATGTCCACTGAGGCTAGGAAGATTCAAGGAGTCTAACATGAGGTGTTAGTAATCGAAAAAGACCTAGTTGGGTAGAGACGTAGCTGGGGTCCTGAGCTTGGAAAGACAGTTGTTTGCATATTCTTTGCAGCCTGTTTCTCAGTAATAAAACCTATAAAATTTATGGAGTGCTTGTCCCAAAGATGCTTTTTCAGGACGCACCTGGACTTTCTTGGTTTTCTTTGAAGACGTTTCGCATCTCATCCCAGAAGCTTCTTCAGCTCTGATTGAATTGGTGCGGAATGGAAGGATTTATGCTCCTTGCAGACAATTGGTCATTTGCATCCTTTTAGAGAGTCCTTGAGGCCACTTGGAGGTTTATCTGTGTCCTCAAGGTCACCTGAGTGGTGCAAATGGGTGTGGAGCCTTCTTATAACCCTTTCAGCAGTACCAAGAAAGCTCCACACCCATTTGCACCACTCAGCTGACCCTGAGGACCCAGATAAACCTCCAGGTGGCCTCAATGACCCTCTAAAAGAAGGCAAATGACCAGCTGTCTGCAAGAAGTATAAATCCTTCCCTTCCCCACCACCCAGCCAGAGCTGAAGAAGCTTCTGGGATGAGAAGCAAAACATCTTCAAAGAAAAGACAAGAAAGTTCAGTTGCCCCTTGAAAAAGCACCATTGAGGACACAGATAAACCTGCAAGTGGCCTCAATGACACTCTAAAAGAAGGCAAATGACCAGCTGTCTGCAAGGAGTATAACTCCTTCCAAACCCCACCATCCAGTCAGAGCTGAAGAAGCTTCTGGGATGAGAAGCGAAATGTCTTCAAAAAAAACCAAGAAAGTTCAGTTGCCTCCTGAAAAAAGGCACTTTTGGGACAACCAGGACCCTGGATGATGAAGAATCTCCACAGATGTTACGGAGTGATATTTTTTTTTTCATTCCTAGCATGGCATTCATGAAGGGCCAATACAGGTCTGATTAACCTGTTCTAGTAAACATTAAATCAAAAAGGGAAGACGTTTACCTGGATGATGAGTTTTGTAAAGGGATCTGTGATGACTTTTAGTAATTCCGGGGCGTTTTCCCCACTCTCCAGCTGAAACGAGTCCACAATAAGACTGGTCAGGCGGTAGAGATACTGAGAGACAATTTCAAGGGGCAACAGGACAAACACGGAAAGCCAGTTAAAGAAATCGTGGACAGTGGCGCCAGCGAAGGCCCTGGAGAAAAACAAACAAACAAATGAAGAGCGATCAGAAGAAATCCAGCAAAAGGACAACCAAAGACATCGAAAGAGGTTCAACAAAATAATATATTCTTTTTTTCTGAAAATCTACAATGGAGAACATAGGTTACAGGTTCTGCTTTTCTACATTCCTTGCTTCACGGATTTTCTGGAATAAGAGTGGAACGTATAATGGGACAACACAATGATAATTGGTAAGGTTTGTTGTTCTCGTCAAATTGATTCCCTCCCCCTTTTTTATGACCCTTTAATCCCTTTATTCGGGGTGGAGTTGGGAACGGCTGAATGGACCTGAGCGTTTACTGGCTGGATGTCCTTCCTGATGCCTACATGGAGTTAGCAGCAGATATTTCCTATTTGTGCCCCCATAGCTGGCTAGGATTGAACTCTCAACCTTGCGAGTGGGAGGCGAGCGTCTTCGCCTCTAGGCTACCGTGCCCCTCTGCTCAAATTGAACGAATGGTGATTATTTCATAAAAAGGTTCCCAAATTCAGGGGGAATCTGAGTTTATGAAGGTGCCATTCTGAACAGAGCTTCTACCGAGCTGAAGAGTTATATAAAATAAATCCACTTCTACTCAGCTACGGTACGATTCCAGGAAAGATTGTTAAATCATTTGTTAAATCCACAGGCCACCTGCTCCAAACACACTTAGGGCAGCTCGGATTCTAGTTAAAGGAAGGGCTTTTGAGGAAATGATTTTTAAATCTTTCTTCCCGTTGACCCTTTGCTTAAAGCTCTGAAGAAGGTCAGCCAGACTTGTTTTGAGGAGTATAAGAGAAGACGCAGTCCTTGGCATACAAAAATGAATTCTGAAAATATTGGAAGAGGTTACGTGCCAAAAATTGCAACTCAAGGGCTATTTCACTGATGTCTACTAAAGGCAGGGGAAGACATAGATTGCCATAAGAAAACAAATCGCTTGGATCAGCGGGCTTATGAGTTTATGCAAGATTTTAACACTGATGAATAAACTAAGAAAAATTACAAGTTGCTTGGATAGATGCAAGGCCAATCAAAACCTTCATCCTTTCCAATATCCTTTCCTTTCATTGGCATAACTGTCAGGGCTTGTGGTAACTTATAACTAAAGTGCAGAGATAACCAGGTTGGGGAAAGCAGAGAACAGGAAAAACTCAAGGAATTATTTATCATTTAAGTATAAGACAGATATTTTTCTGTTGGCTTTTTGCCTGTCTAAAAGGACAACCAGGGGCTGTTTTTCCCTTTCTCCTGCATTATAGTATAGCTACGGTGGTTCCCAGTTGCAATGTATGGCTGTGAAAGTTGGACCATAAGAAAGGCTGAGCGCCAAAGAATTGAGGCCTTTGAACTATGGTGCTGGAGAAGACTCCTGCGAGTCCCCTGGACTGCAAGGTGATCCAACTGGTCAGTCCTACAGGAGATCAACCCCGACTGCTCTTTAGAAGGCCAGATCCTGAAGTTGAAACTCAAGTACTTGGCCACCTAATGAAAAGGAAGGACTCACTGGAGAAGGGCCGATGCTGGGAAAGATGGAGGGCAACAGAAGAAGGGGACGACAGAGAATGAGGTGGCTGGATGGAGTCACTGAAGCAGGAGGCGTGAGCTTAGATGGACTCCAGAAGATGGTAGAGGACAGGAAGGCCTGAAGGAACGTTGTCCATGGGGTTGCGATGGGTCGGACACGACTTCGCAACTAACAACAACAACAACACGGTGGTGATGATGATATAATAGGCTTTTTACGAAGGAGTTTTATTGCATTGATGCACAGATAGTGGTTAAATGAGTTTTGCCTCATTTTACGACCTTCCTCGCCACAGTTCTTAAGTGAATCACTGCAGTTGTTAAGTTAGTAACCTGGCTGTTAAGTGAATTTAGCTTTCCCATTGATTTTGCTTATCACAAAATGATTCCCGAACAGTGCAACCGTCATAAATACAAGTCAGCTGTCAAGCGTCTTGATTTTGATCAGGCGACCTGCAGATGCTGCAATGGTCATAACTGTGGAAAACGGTTCTAACTCACGTTTTTCGGTGTTGTTGGTCACTAAACAAGCTGTTGGAAGTTGAGATGATGACGAATTGCATTAACATTTAGATTTTGCTAGTTTTATAGGCATTATTATCCTGATTGCTACTATCGTGCCTTAAGATAAGAATCTGATACCTTCTAAATTCATTCCTGTCACCAGCCTGCATGAGTGCCACAATGGTGTTTGTCACCGAAGTCCCAATGTTGGCTCCCATTATGATCGGGATAGCATGCTTAACATTCAACACTGCAAAAATAAATAGGCAATAATAATAAGTACAGGTGACAGTGGGATGAATGAGACAAATGGGTTCACACCTGACTGCTTCAATATTAGACAGCCCCTCAAATATTGGAAGACTGCTATCATGTTTCCCCCAGATCAACCCCAAGTAAGTTTGGAGAAAAGATAGTTCTCTAGTGTTTGGTTTACATGTGGAAAGAAACATGCAAGATGAACCACCAGGAAAACATTTTCAATACAATACAATAATTTAATTTATCAAGTGATTATTAAGCGGGTGCTCTGTTTTACACCAGCAGACTTCCCTTTTTTTCCTCTTGTTCATATTTTTTTTCCTTGAGGAAACGACTGAAACAGGAGTTGCGCAATTACAAATTGAGCCCGCCTCTCGCTGAAGATTGAGTCCATTTCTGTCGAGGACTGCAAAGGAATAATCTTTATGGTATCTTCTCATTTAAAGAAGGATGTCGCAAATTGCTATCATGTGTGCTTTTCTTCAACCCAAAGTTGCTTTTTACAGGAGGCAACTGGACTTTCTTATTTTTCTTTGAAGATGTTTCGCCTTTTGTCCCAGAAGCTTCTTCAGCTCTGGCTGGATGATGGGGAATGGAAGGATTTATACTCCTTGCAGACAGCTGGTCATTTGCCTCCCTTTAGAGAGTCGTTGAAGCCACTTGGAGGGTAGGAAATGGAAAGATTTATACTCTTTGCAGACAGCTGGTCATTTGCATCCTTTTCGAGAGTCGTTGAGGCCACTTGGAGGGTGGGAAATGGAAAGATTTATACTCCTTGTAGACAGCTGGTCATTTGCATCCTTTTAGAGAGTCATTGAGGCCACTTGGAGATTTGTCTGTGTCTTCAGAGTCACCTGAGTGGTGCAAATGGGTGTGGAGCACAGTCCTTTCAGCAGTTCCAAGAATCCCCCACACCCATTTGCATTACTCAGGTGACTCTGAGGACACAGAGAAACCCCCAAGTGGCCTCAACGACTCTCTAAAAGAAGGCAAATGACTAGCTGTCTACAAGGAGTATAAATCTTCCATTTCCCCCACCATTTGGTTAGAGCTGAAGAAGCTTCTGGGATAAGAAGCGAAACGGCTTCAGATTAAAAACAAAGTCCAGTTGCCTCCTGAAACAAAGCACCTTTGGAACAACCCTGACCTGGATGATGGAGAATCTCCAGAGACACTGGTAGGGAAAAATGATACCAGCAGAATTGCCCCTCCTGTTTAAAATACCCATTAGTTGTATGACAGGCTATTTCTGAGTTGACCGCTGTCTTTGATTTCCCTGTTTTGCAGCTACCCAACTCCCAAAATGAGTTATAACATCCAAAACCTGTTACATGGTTGACTCACGTGAAGAAGACACCATGCTGACAATGATGGAGGAAGATGTGCTGGAACTTTGCACCATCACGGTCACCAGGACGCCAATGACCAGCCCTGCCACGGGATTGGATAAGACAGAACCATCCTTGAAAATGTCCCCTGCGGCTTTGCCTGTAAAAATAACAAATTTCAGGTAGTTTTCAACTCACAACAGTTCATTTAGTCACTGTTCAAAGGTGCAACAGCTCTGGGAAAAAAAATGACTTATGACCATTTTAGACACCACCATTGCAGCATCCCTGTGGCCACGTGAACAAAATTTGGATGCTTAGTGACCGGTTCATATTTATGATGGTTGCAGTGCCCCAGGGTCATGTGATCCCTTTTTGTGACCTTATTATACACAAAGTCAGTGGGGAAACCATAGTCACTTAAGTAGCCTGTTACTAACTTAACAACTGGAGTGATTCATTTAACAACTGCGGCAAGAAACGGGGCAAAATTCACTTAAGAAATGTTTCGCTTAGCGACAAAATTTTGGGCTCCGTTATGGTCATAAATGGAGGACTATCTGTATTACAGCTTTAAATAACCTTCATAATACTGGAACCTCCATAACAATAAGAACTATACCTGGAGATGATCTGATGCTCCTCACAAGGTGTGAACCATAGCATAAAGGACAGAGGTTTATATTTGTTAGAAATTCTGTTCATATAAAACAAAGGTCCCAACCTTTTGGGCACCAGGGACCAGTTCCGTGGAGAGAGGTTTTTCCACGGACTGGAGGGAGTGTGGTTTTGTGTATTGCCTACATCTGACAGATGGGGCTTTGCTGGTTTGTGTGGACTGGTTGCTGGAATGCTGCAGCCCAGTACCAGTCCATGGACTGGGGGTTGGGGACCCCTGATATAAAGCACCACACAGAGCAAACAAACAGCACAATCACCATGTGCTTTATTGCTCAACTATTTAACCGTAACAGGAAACAGGAAACTCTGCTTAGAACAAAAGAGCATCGAGTATATACCATAGATCCAAACTTGTAAACACTGCCACCTACTGGCTGGATACTACTGTAGTTGTTGCATATAAAGCACACACAGAGCAAACAAAGAGTACTGTCACCATGTGCTTTACTGCTCAACTATTTAACCGTAAGAAGAAACAGGAAACTCTGCTTAGAACAAAAGAGCATCGAGTATATACCATAGAGCCAAACTTGTAAACACTGCCATCTACTGGCTGAATACTACTGTAGTTGTAGCATAGAAATACATTCCAACAACATTATTTTGCCAGTCTTTCAAAGAGATGAAAAAGTGTCCATTAAATTGTATTTAACTACAATACGTGTCTCCATAGCATGCGAGTCTTGCAGGAAAGACTTCTTAACTGATGAAGATTACAGTGGTTCCTACAGCTTTTTGCATATGGGTGTATATACCGATCGACCTATTTCAGCTGTCTGTGAATGGTGTTTTATCTATTCAATCTCACGCATAAGAAATTCTTCATCACAATATGCGTTACCAAACACTTTAGACACAAGATTAAGAGATTAGTTTGGGTAAGACATCACGTCCTAGATTGTCAGAATACCTGCAAGTGATTACAACAATGCAGGTTGAAGGAAAGAAACAAGGTCTCCTCCGCACCACACCCACAATATCCTCCTGTGATTGACAGCTCTTATGCCCAGGGTGCCTCAAAGAGGCTTGCTGTGTTCAACTAAGCAAGCTCAGGTAAGCTGAGTTTAGCCAGCCTCACTCCGAGAACTCCTTTGAGGTATTAATGCTCTGCCTACAGAGTCTTTCAAGGGTCTCAGTATGAAATGTCGGATGGAAGAAATAGTAAGAGTAATAATAGTAGTAGTAGTAGTAGTAGTAGTAGTAGTAGTAGTAATAACATAACATAACACCCCAGACTTAACAATTGTTGATAAGAAAGACAAAAAAGTCTGGATAGTGGATGTGGCAGTGCCTGGAGACAGCAGAATAGACGAGAAAGAACTGGAGAAGATAACAAAATACAAAGACCTACAAATAGAAATAGAAAGACTGTGGCAAAAGCAAGCAAGGGTAGTACCAATAATCATAGGCTCCTTGGGTGCAATCCCAAAACAACTGGAGCACCACTTGAACACCATTGGCATTGACAAATTTGCTATTAGTCAATTGCAAAAGGCGGCCTTATTAGGAACTGCTTCCATCCTGCGACGATACCTGTAATACCATCAAACATCCACATCTGCCTATCCCAGGTCCTGGGTAAGGACTCGATAGGTAGACAAAATGCCAAATCCAATCTGAACATTTGGCTGACTGTGCGATGATCCATAATAATAATAAAGTTGGAAGGGACCTTGGAGGTCATCTAGTCCAACCCCCTGCTCAGGCAGGAAACCCTATACCATTTCGGACAGATGGCTGTCGTCTCTTCTTAAAGACCTCCAGTGTTTGAACATTCACCGCTTCTGGAGGCAGGGTGTTCCACGGGTTAATCGTTCTAACTGTGAGAAAGTTTCTCCTTAGTTCTAAGTTGAGTCAATTGACTCATTCTAGTAATGAGTCAATTGACAGCTAATCTCCGAAATGGCATCTCAGTTCGCAAAAAACCTGGGAAAAAAACATCTCGGAGTATTCAAAGTGACTGCACCTTAATTGACGTTATAAATAAATCTGGGAAATTCCTCTTTTAGTTTTCTGTGTTTGATCTAGTCAAACATTAAACATGCCTTATTGAAATGGGCATTGTTCTGGTTTCCTTGGTCTTGTCCATCTGGCTGAGGTTTAGCAAGGAGTGAACAAGGATGCCACGGCGCAAAACATCCCCTACAACAGGGGTCTTCAAACGTGGCCCTTTGATGACTTGTGGACTTCAACTCCCAGAATTTCTCAGCCAGCGTGCCTGGCTGAGGAATTTTGGGAGTTGAAGTCCACAAGTCGTCAAAGGGCCAAGTTTGAAGACCCCTGCCCTACAATGTGTGTTTTGCTTTCTTTGTGGTCTCTTCCTCCCAAAGATACTTTTATCTGAAAGGCAACTGGACTTTCTGAGTTTACTTTAAGAGGTTTCACTTCTCGTCCAAGAAGCTTCTTCAGTTCTAAGTAACTGGCGGGGAATGGAACGGAACAGAAGAAGTTTCTTGGAGATGTCTTAAAAGAAAAATCAGAAAGTCCAGTTGCCTTTCAAATAAAAGACCCCCTTTGCAACAACCATGACTTGGATGGCTGAGAACCTCCATAGATATTTAAGGACTTAGATGCATCTTCTCATGTCTTCCAGCCTAAATGACAGTCACGAGGATCCCAAAGGTGCTTTTTCAAGAGGCCACTGGACTTCCCTGTTTTTCTCTAAAGAACGTTTCAGAGCTGAAGAAGCTTCTGGGATGAGAAGCGAAATGTCTTCAGAGACAAACAAGGGAGTCCAGTGGCCTCTTGGAAAAGCACCTTTGAGTCAACCATGACTTGGATGACAGAGAACCTCCGTAGACAGTCATGAGGATCTGCCCTTTAGAATTCCATCAGTGGTTGGATGAATTTATAAAGATGTTCTGCTGGGGAACTGATCTGTTTTAGATAAATGCGTTCCTTGGATACAAGCCAGTTAGACATCGCCTCTAATCAAAGCAAGTTTTCCATATGAACCCAAGATCAAGGCCAAGCAATCAGCATAGAGTTTGTTCAGGACTGCAGAGTCCCAGGTTCGAGATCCCTCCTTCAGCTATGGAGCTTCCCTGGATGACTTTGGCCCCTGCCTTTTCTCTCTGCCCAGTCTAACCCACAAAATCGTTGCCACACTAAATGGGGTGTGACCTTCTATCCGTAGGCTGCCAGAAGCTTCTTAGAACAGTGTTTACCAACCTCGGCAATGTCAAGATGGATGGAGTCCAAGGCTGGTTGGGGATTTCTGAGAACTGAAGTCCACTCATCTTAAAGTTTGTTGACACACTGCCTTGGAGGAAAGATTAATCACTACAGGTAATCCTCAGCTAATGAGAGCAATAGTCTTGCCTATAATGAAGTCTGGGTGTGAGAATTGGACACTAAAAAAGGCTATTTGAAGAAGAATTGACGCCTTTGGACTATAAATTATTGCATATACCCTGGGCAGTCAGAGCAATCAACAGAGAGACGCTGAATCATATAAAACCAGAAGCTTCACTAGAAGCCAACAACACAGGGCTACGTCTGATGTACTTTGCCCGTGTCTTGTGTGCAAATTCATTGGAGAAGTCCATGATGCCAGGAATGCTTAGTGGAACAAGCAAAGAACACGCTGGCTTGATAGCATCACAGCCGATTCAACGATGAACATCCAGCAACTGAAGGAAAACACTGTGATTGACAGGGTAGCACGGAGAGGACTTGCCTATAAAGTTTTCAAGAGTCAGACACATCTGACTGGTTAAAACTACTATTGATCCTCAGCTTAACAATCATAATTGACCCTGGAATTATGGCTGGCTAAGCAGATCGTCATGTCACCTCCCTAATTTTGTGGTAGTCATTAAAGAAATCGCCGTGGTTCTTAAACAAATCCACAGTCATTAGGTGAACACGTAACAGAATAACAACATTGGAAGAGATCTTAGAGGTCTTCCAGTCCAACCCCCTGCTCAGGCAGGACACCCTATACCATTTCAGACAACTGGTTGTTCAATCTCTTCTTAAAAACTTCCAGTGTTGGAGCACCCACTTCTGGAGGCAGGTTGTTCCATTGGTTAATTGTCCACACTGTCTGGAAATTTCTCCTTGGTTCCAGGTTGCTTCTCTCTTTGGTTATTTTCCACCCGTTGCTTCTTGTCCTGCCTTCAGGGGCTTCGGAGAATAGCTTGACCCATTCCTCTTCTTTGGGGCAGCCCCTCAGATATTGGAACACAACTATCCTGTCACCCCTGGTTCTTCTTTTCATTAAACTAAACACGGGGTGTTTCCTGCAACCGCGCTTCCTATCTTTTCGTTTTTGCCAGAAATTGGAAGTAAATGCTGCTTTTTGTGGGAAAAGTTGTAAATGGCAGTCATGATTGTGGGATTGAGTGACCAAAATACAATCGCATGGCCACGGGGGTGGGGAGACCTTGCAACTCCAGCACGTCTATCCACAGAGAATCCAGCTATCTAAAATTGCTATCCATAGTACCACTAATCCCGATTATGTAATAGGGTTTTTTTTGGGCCAGATTTAATAATAATAATAATAAAGTTGGAAGGGACCTTGGAGGTCATCTAGTCCAACCCCCTGTTCAGGCAGGAAACCCTATACCATTTCTGACAAATGGCTGTCCAGTTTCTTCTTGAAAACTTCCAGTGCTGGAGCATTCACCGCTTTTGGAGGCAGGTTGTTCCACTGGTTAATTGTTCTAACTGTCAGGAAGTTTCTCCTTAGTTCTAGGTTGCTTCTCTCCTTGGTTAGTTTCCACCCGTTGCTTCTTGTCCTGCCTTCAGGCGCCTTGGAAAACAGCTTGATTCCCTCTTCTTTGGGGCAGCCCTTGAGATACTGGAACACTGCTATCATGTCCCCCCTCGTCCTTCTCTTCATTAAACTAGACATACCCAATTCCAGCAACCGTTCCTCATATGTTTTAGCCTCCAGTCCCCTGATCATCTTTGTTGCTCTTCTCTGTACTCTTTCTAGAGTCTCAACATCTTTTTTACATCGTGGTGACCAAAACTGGATGCAGTATTCCAAGTGTGGCCTTACCAAGGCCTTACCAAGGCCTTTACCTTGTAAAGTGGTATTAATACTTCACGTGATCTTGATTCTATCCCTTTGTTAATGCAGCCTAGCACTTTGTTGGCTTTTTTGGCAGCTGCAGCACACGGCTGGCTTCTATTTAAATAATGGTCCATAGGACTTTTGTTTTTTGATTCTTTTTGAACTGTCCTAGGTGCTCGCCGTAGATAAAGCTTTATTTGCATATTGCTCTGTCTTGAAGGGCGATGCTTTTGGAGACGCAGTGCTTCAAAAGCTTTATTCTGCAGCTGTGGAGACAACAGACTTTGTGTACCCTTCAATCAAGCACATTGGGAGAGTTGTGTTAGTGACACAGACTTGAAATTCTTGTCTTACCTCCGACTAATTGGAAGGCCGAGCTGAGCACATCCAAGGAGCACACGAAAAAGTAAAGCAATCCCAGCAGGAGAATAAATTTCACGATGCCTCGCAAAATATAGAGGGCTTTGTGTTTCCCATCCAGCTCTGGAAAGACAAAGCGAAAATTCATGTGCAATTAGCAGCAGTTATTAAGTGTTCCATCTCAAGGATCTTAAATATAAGTTCAGGGTGTCAAGGCTGGTATCCTGTGGATAATAAACCCAAAGGAATGTTCTCGTTATTAAAATTTAACTTTAGTTAAAAGGAGGTGTTTTTTTCCCCCCTTTTTTACGAAGCTTTAAAAGACAGCTGTATTTAAAAGGGCCCTTTACTTTGAAAGAGGAAATACCAATCCGTGTTTAGATTCTTTTATCAATATCTCTCGTCCTATTTCATGTAGCAAAAAATAAAAAAATGAAAAAGGCAAGGGTTTATTGTCACAGGAATGGCCTGCCATCGGAAAAGGGAATCTCTCTTCCTGGTTCCAACCAAATACATCCAAAGGCTATCAGGAGGGGGCCATAAGAGGTCTGGAGGGAGGGCAGAAGGTGGTGCCTTGAAGATCCCACTCCCCAAGACCTTGAACCCAGGGGGTCTCCCTGGCAAAAATCTCAGGGAAGCCACCCTAGACCAGGTGTCTTCATCAAGAAAGGCTGAGCTGGACCGTCTCCCGGAGCCTCCACGAGCTACCCCTTTGCAGCGTGGCCGTTGGTGCCAGACCATCCCTGGCAAGCGGTGGCACCAGCCGCAGAGCAGGGCGATGGGGAACGCAAGGACGGCTGTTTTCGCTCCAGCTGGTCACGTGCAAAGAGAATGATTCCCTCCGCCTTCCACCGCTTGCCAGGGACGGTCTGGCACCAACGGCCACGCTGCGAAGGGGTAGCTCATGGAGGCTCCGGGAGACGGTCCAGTAACAATTAAGTAGATTGTTTTGATCCCAGGATGGTGGCACACCCAATCAGAACACAGCCAAGCTCCCACCCAATCAGTTCATACCCCCACTGGCAGTTAAAAGGAAGAAACAGCTAAGACCACACATTGCTCCTCGAAGCACGAAGCTGAAAACACCAGCCTGAAGATGACGAATGGGACTTCGTCGCAACATCGCCAAGACACTTCCAATTTTACGCGGGAGAAAACCCGAATAACCAAAGACCTACATACAAACACCCGCGAAAACCTCAGAAAACATCTAGCTGTCTGTCTGTCTGTCTGTCTGTCTGTCTGTCTGTCTGTCTATCTATCTATCTATCTATCTAATCTATCTCTGTATCTATCTATCTGTCTATCTATCTATCTATCTATCTATCTATCTATCTATCTATCTATCTATCTATCTATCTATCTATCTATCTATCTATCTATCTATCTACAGAGAGAGAGAAAGAAAAAGAGAGAGAGATAATATACCCAAAATCAAGTCCATAACCAATGTTAGGCCCCATAGAGAGTTTATTATATACTGTAAAAAAAAATAAAAAATTCAAATGGTTGCTTTTTCCTTCTAGACATCTAGACATCTCTTTTGATGCATGACCTTTGAACATACTTAAGTACAGTAACATTAATTCATAAAACATATCAAGGTTCAGGCAAATAGAGATAGATAGATAGATAGATAGATAGATAGATAGATAGATAGATAGATAGATAGATAGATAGATAGATAAATGCATGGATGCATGATGGATGGAGATAGATGATAGAGAGATAGATAGATAATAGATAGATAAATAGATGGACAGATAGTGATATGTCGATATGTAAATATGTATGCCTGATAATATTTGCAGAATTTTTGGTGCTGTGCACTAACTGAGTCTCAGTTAAGAGAATATCAAATGTGGAGGAAGAGGTTATCACTTAATACTGGTTTGTTATCATTTTGTTGTGGTGCGTCGTGCCCCATTTTGTCCTTCCAGTCAGCCATTTGTTTTCCAAGCAAAGAAACAAAACAGAGAAGACAGAATATTGGGGTTATGAATGAAAAAAAAAATAATGCCATCAAGAACAAAACAGAAACACACCCAAATGGCCTTTTCCATTTTTTTCCAGATGTAGAACACCCAATGAGAAGAAATTAGAAGGAAGACGGCAGAACTTGGAGGAACGGAAACAAATGCCATCCATTCTCTGATGATAGAGCCTTACCTGACCATTGGATTCCAGTATCCTGAAGCTCCGGGAGGCTCCACGGGTCTTCTTCTTCTTCGGATTCAGTGGTCAAAGCAATGGTGGAATACGCAGGCAAAAGTTCCAGCTGATTCCCCAGGGAAATGGCCCCATCTGATGGACCAAACAAGCAAGCCAACATTATCATCGGTCCACCCATGTGGGATGTGGATGTATTAAAAAAAACTGGTTGTATTGGAGATACAGGAGAAAGGAGAGGATAGATCAGAAGAATGGACTTTAGTGGTACCTTTAGTGTCTTTCGTCTCTTTTTCAGACATGATCTCCTTGGATTTTGAGGAAGGTTCTTCAATATATTTATTGGTGTCTGTGTCCTCCAGTTCAGGCCACGGAGCCATGTCCTGCAAGACATTGAGGCAGAAGAGAAAGCTCAATATGAATGCTTCACTACCATATTTCTAAGGGTTCGTTATGTCAGACTTGGAGAAACAGAAATCCATTCCTTAAAAGCAACTGGTTTAGTCGCTAACCATCATCTAATGTATCTGAGCAAGTTGGCCAACTTCGTTGGTTCTTCTGGTTAGAAGTTAAGCAGGGTTAGGCCTGTTAGGATTTAGATGGGAGATTTCTAAGGAATCCCCGGGGCTGTAGGCTAGACTGTGTCCCTGAAGAAAATATCATTAATAAAGGAGAAAACATTTGTAGCTCAAGGTTGACATGAGAGGACCTTGGTGCTCTCTGAGCTTGCTTGTTTTCTTGCAGACGTTTCATGAACCAAACTAGGTAACATCATCAGTGCTAGGAGGGAGGTGGGTTTGCAGAAAGGGGGAGGAGGAGGAGGAGGAGGACGACGACGACGACGACTGTGGGGTCCTTGGTGCTCTCTGAGCTTGCTTGTTTTCTTGTAGACATTTCATGACCCAAATTAGGTAACACCATCAGCGCTAGTCTGATGGATTGAGAAGCTCCACAGATATCCAACACTGGAGGTTTTTAAGAAGAGATTGGACAACCATTTGTCCAGAATGGTATAGGATCTCCTGCTTGAGCAGAGGGTTGGACTAGAAGACCTCCAAGATCCCTTCCAACTCTGTTAATCTAGTACTCTATTCTTCTTGAATCATTGATGCCGCTTAGCTACCTTTGGCTCAGCTTGAAAAACTAAGCAGGGCCAGACCTAGTTAACTCTTGGTTGGGGGACATCTGAGGAGGCCTGTAAGAAACAATATGGAAGTATATTTCCATACCATTTTCAACAACATGGAGAAGTCCTTGAGGTTAGCAGCGGTTCCATTTGTCTTGAAGGACAGGGCGATTCCTCTATATTCTCTAGCTCAGTGGTTCTCAAGCTTTTTAATGCCGTGACCCCCAACCGGTCGTAAGTTGAGGACTACTCAACCGGTCGTAAGTCGAGGACTACTCAACCGGTCGTAAGTCGAGGACTACTCAACTGGTGCAGCACCGTTTGCAGAAGGGGACTTTTGGCGGGCTCAGCAGGGCAGAGACAGCCTGGACAATTCCTATTGGCTTTTGAAAGCCAATAGAATTAGACTCTATTCAAGAGAGTCTATTCTATTGGCTTTCAAAAGCCAATAGAATAAAAGGGAGTAGCACAGCTAAGGAAAAGGGGGAAAAAAATGGCAGACTGTGTTGTTTGGCGACCCCCGTGAAATGGTCGTTCGACCCCAAATGGGGTGCCGACCCACAGGTTGAGAACCATTGCTCTAGCTTGAGATCCTTTTGTTTCTTCAGCTTTGTGAGACTTTAGGGGTGTGTGTGTGTGGATAATATTCCTATGGGTGGGGCTTTCCAGCAATGCCCAGCCTACAACTTGGTGGCTGCCCATGTGCCACTCTGCTGACGTGCGTCTCTGGCGCAATGGCATCCTGTTACCAAATTCCAGAACGTTTTCAGGAACCCTTGCCCAGATTAAAATGCAATAGTAAGATGGAGGGAGGAAGAAAATTGCGGAAGCGTCTTCAGTGCTGAAGAAATTGCTGCTTAAGGAAGGTGATCTTCCTAAATGCTCAAAGCTTTCTGGAGGGAAAAGCAGTGTTTTCATTACCCTCCAGATGTTGTGGGTGCTCTGGATGTTTTTAAGAAGGGTGTTAAGGTTCTACATTTAGGCAAGAAAAACCAAATGCACAGGTATAGTATAGGAGGTGCCTTGCTCAATAGTAGTAACCGTGAGAGGGATCTCGGAGTCCTAGTGGACAATCATTTAAATGTGAGCCAGCAGTGTGCTGCAGTTGCCAACAAAGCCAACACAGTGCTGGGCTGCATTAACAGAGGGATAGACTCAAGATCACGTGAAGTGTTAATACCACTTTACAAGGCCTTGGTAAGGCCACACTTGGAATACTGCATCCAGTTTGGTCACCACCATGTAAAAAAGATGTTGAGACTCTAGAAAGAGTACAGAAAAGAGCAACAAAGATGATCAGAGGACTGGAAGCTAAAACATACAAGGAACGGTTGCTGGAATTGGGTATGTCTAGTTTAACGAAGAGAAGGACGAGAGGGGACAGGATAGCAGTCTTCCAGTATCTCAGGGGCTGCCCCAAAGAAGAGGGAGTCAAGCTATTCTCCAAAGCGCCGGAAGGCAGGACAAGAAGCGACGGATGGAAACTAATCCACGAGAGAAGCAACCTAGAACTAAGGAGAAACTTCCTGACAGTGAGAACAATTAATATTGCTGGGACTTTTAATGATTTCCTGCTCACAGCGTTTCTCGGGATGGGTGGGCTGCTGTAGGAACAAACAAAGAAGTTGAGTAATGGTGGAAGGAGATTCAAAGAGGTGGAATGAGACAACAGCTTCCCTCATTGGGGAAGTTCTTCCTCCATAGTTCTGGCGGAGAAAAAAAAGTTGCAGAACTCCTTCGGCTACTTCCCACGCCTCTTGCGAGTCCCAGGAACACCTGGGAACACACCTGATCTCACATTGATACAGTTCCTGAAAGTGGAAAAGATCCACTTTGGCACCAGGTCTGTCCTTAAGCTCAGAAGACAAGCCGTAGAACATTTGGGTTGCTTAACGAGTTAATTTTCCACGCATTGCATCTTTTGAGGCTAGATCTGGAATTTTACGGTTACAAGGATGGAGGTAGCTAGAAGCCTCTTCCCCGATCTCCCTTTCCTTTCCCTTGATCTGCCATTTTTATGACTAGCAAACACTTTAATTTTGCCATCTAATAATAATAATAATAATAAAGTTGGAGGGAGGTCTTCTAGTCCAACCCCCTGCTCAGCCAGGAAACCCTATATCATTTCAGACAAATGGTTATCTAGTCTCTTCTTAAACACTTCCAGTGTTGGAGAAGGGAGGGAGGGAGGAAGGAAGGAAGGAAGGATAGAGAGAGATGGAGGGAGGCAGGAAAGAATGAGGGAGGGAGGGAGGGAGGGAGGGAGGGAGGAAGGAAGGAAGGAAGGAAGGAAGGAAGGATAGAGAGAGATGGAGGGAGGCAGGCAAGAAGGAGGGAGGGAGGGAGTGAGGGAGTGAGTAAGTAAGTAAGTAAGTAAGTTTGGTTTAGGGATGAAATGGTATAGGGCAGGCTTTCTGCTTGAACAGGGGTTGGACTAGAAGACCTCCAAGGACCCTTTCAACTCTATTATTCTGCATGAAAACTTTTTCCCCCCAATGAATTCAGGGGTTCTTAAAAGAACTTGAAAGAACCGTGCCTAAACAGAGTTACATTTATAGTAGAAATAAATGAGTTCACTTCTTTTGACTCTGCTTTTTGGACAGAATTCCCCAAGAGATTTTTTTTTTTTTATCATTTCCTCTAGGGCAGAAAGAAATAGGAACCTCTGTACTAACTTCTATGTGCCTACAAAGTATTGTTTGTGACTCGCCAGCCATAACAGCACCATGAAAGAACAAACAGTACTAGAACTTCACATGGTAAAATAACCTGTTTTTCTTTAAAAAAAAAAACACCTCAAAATTACAGAGGGATGAACACAGTAAAATTGAAGAGAAGCCCTGAGAAGAAGTTACATCGGTGGAAAGAAACCGACAAAACTTTCAAAGCGCTTATTATTAACTCCGCAAGCAATTAAGACTTTTAAAACTGCATATTCTGTTCAGGGTTTCAGGGAGCTTAGAAGAGCGAGGTTTGTTATAACCTCTTTCAAACAGTTTATTCAGTATAAAATATATTCACGATGTAGGATCTCTCTGTGTCTATCTATGTATTTATTTTGATCCATCTAGACGGGTGCTTGGAGGCGACCCCGGGATGATTTAGAACTAATTAATTTTATTTCAATAATACTGGAGTTCGACAAGAAGGAAGCTTCTATATATAGGTTAACCCCCAACCCCATTAAAGGATCCGTTACACGACATAGAAAGCTTTTTGAATTCGGCACTACCTTGGAAATACAACTATAATGAGTTGCCAGGATCTTTTTACTCACTTAGGCTAGTTCTGTACCTCCAGTTGACCCCTAATTCGGTTCTGTCAGGATTAAATTACTGTATAATGCACTCAGTGTAAGCTGCCCTTGGAAATGTTTTGGAAACTGCAAAACTGTAAACGGGTACAAAATGAGTATTAAATGTTCCAATCATATTACACTGTTCTGTATTATTTATGTTGGCTGGTCATTTGGGTGGGGGGGAGGGAACCCATCCAGGAAACTGTTGGGAGACCTCTCTAAATGGATTCAAGCATTAAGATCAGTGTGGGAATTGTTACTTTTTGTATATATATATATATATACATAGCACCACAGATCAAACGGAACGTACTGTCACCATGTGCTTTACTGCTTAACTGTTTTAACTAGATCAGGAAGCAGGAAACTCTGCTTAGAACAAAAAAGCATAGAGTTTATACCATAGATCCAAACTTGTAAACACTGCCATCTACTGGCTGAATGCTACTGTAGTTGTTGCACAAAAATACATCCCAACAGTAACCAAGAACTTATAAAAAATGTATAGCTCTTCAATTTTACTGTTTCAGCTTCCATCTTGACTTCTTAACCGCCTCTGTAGATACACACAGGTGTCTCGTTTTCTCAGAAGAGATGCCAGATCTTTAAACGTTATTGTGTTACCAGTGCTGATTTAGGAAACTAAAACTGAAAGCATAGAGGTAGTCCTCGGCTTACGTCCACAACTGAGCCCAAATTTTATGTGGCTAAGAGAAACGTTTTGCTCCATTTTTCCACCTTTCTCACCACAGTTGTCAAGTGGATCACTGTAGTTGTTAAGTTAATGACAAGTGAATCTGGCTTCCCCCCACTGAGTTGGCTTGTCAGAAGGTTGCAAGAGGGGATCACGTGACCCCGGGGGACGCTGCAAACTGTCATAAATATGAGTCAGTTGCCAAGCGTCCTAATTTTGATCCCATGAGCCCAGGGATGCTGCAATGGTGGTAAAGGTGAAAAAT